CGCCGCGCGCCTCGGGGCGCACAGCGGGCAGAGAACCGCCGCGCGCCTCGGGGCGCACGGCGGGCAGAAAACCGCCGCGCGCCTCGGGGCGCACAGCGGGCTGAAAACCCTAAGTCAACGCCGCGCACCACGGGGCGCGCGGCGGACAGGGAGTAGCAGTAGCAGCGGAAGCAGTGAAGTGGGGCCCACAGGCCAGGAGCATGTAGCTCTGATACCATGTTAGAATAGGAGGTAGTCTTAGGAGCCTAAGCTAGGAAAGCCCTAGCTAGGCAAACGATAGTTTAGGTGAAAGAAGGAGAGGGGTTGCACTAGAAAGAATGGGGATACAAATAGCAAACCCTAGAAGGGTTGTACTCGTTATAGAGCACCCCACTACAGGCTAGAGCATAATATTCTGACACTGGTTCGACACTAGGGCGCACAAGAGACAATTTTGTGGTGCGACACTGTTTCGGCCCCGACAAAAACAGACCAACGGCAACAGTTACCCTGCCGAAAATGTCGGGGTTGAAGAAGATGTGGCAGCTGGCGGGGTTTCTCCTGATTCAACGGTCTACCCGACGGCGGTGTAGCGGCGAAGAGGGAGTTTACGAAGCTGCAGAGTTTTAAAAGCGATAGGCACGGTGGGCAGCGAAACGGCCGGCCGGGAGTTTGATACGATAAACTCAACCCGACTACGATTGCGTTCGCGCCTTCATCGAACGCCAGAAAAATCGCGGGCAACACGGAGAATACCTCATCCGACAAAAGCGGACGCTGGGTGAACGGCGGCAAGCGAAATTGTCGGGGGGTGAAGACAAAAAAATGGAGGGAAAGTTTTGGGTGCCTCTCCAAGCTTCTTGAGTGATAGGTTGAGCCCGTACACCAGTCCACCGTGAATTTCGGGTCTACTCGGTGGGCACGAAAGGGTCGGATATCTCGCACATCGAGGCACGGCGAGGGGTGTATTGCCAAGGATGCCTGGGATTTGCTAAGTATTCTCGACGGGTACGAAGATGGGTGAACGTCGGAGTACCAGGGTCAACGGTGGAAACGTCGGGGCTATAAGGCAGAAAATACTTCGGGGCTTGTTGCCGCAACCTGATTTTTCGGGTGACATTTCGACGGTGGGAGACGGGTGAACGTCTGCTCGCCAATTGTTTAAGCGTTTTACTGTGTACTTCAGAAGTTTACCTGAGGGAGTTCTACGGCGAGATCTGCGACGTTGACGCGCGCTAGGGTCCGTGAAAATCAGTCTCGAAAGACCCATAAGTACTGGGTTCCATGCCAAAAAAGCACCTCCTATTGGTGGGTCGCTTGGGTGGTTAACCGCACGAAAAAAATGGTGACCGGGTGGGCGTGCTAGAAACACCGGTTCTTTCGGAGGACAATCTGCATGCGACCGAGATTTACGTGGTGTGGTTCATTTCCGACATTTGCGGGTGCAACGACAGTTCCGAGACTGAGTCTTAACGGAGTCAACGGGGTCGCTGACAGTATCCGTGACACCGGCGGAGTTGCAGCAGTGCTTGATTAAGCGCGCGAAGGCACTCGTCGTTAACAATGTAGCCCTACAAATCGGAAACTGCTCGGGGGTACCAATGACAACAAGGAAGGTGTTTTACTACAGAAGGGGGGAAAGGCGGCAGCTGTTTTTCGCCCCTGCCCGGCGGTTCTCGGCGAGTCACGACAACGTCACCGAGGTATCTGACGTCATCGGCTGTTCAAGTTCAACTTTGAAAAAAAAATTACGAGGTTAGGGGGAGGAGCACCAGCTTTGTTTTCGCCTCTGCCCGGGAGTTTTCGGAGAATCGCGACAAAGGCCTCGGCGAGTCACGACAACGCCGCCGGTGGCGCTGACATCATCGGAACCCGAGTACGGATTTTGAAACGGAGTTTTCAAATCAGGCCATGGACAGTTACGTGATTTCGCCCAACTCGTCGGACGTCGCTGATGTGCTTCAACGGTTTCGCAATTTTAGCGATGGTCTTCGACGATACACCGACACGATCCGGAGTCACGACAGCGGACATTTGAACAGGCTCCTTTTTCAGCAAATGACAAGGGTCTCGCGTCAACATCAGTGTAGCAGCGGCGCTTGGTGGCAGCCAGCTAGAGATTCTGCAGCGGACATGTGATTTGATGCTGCCACGCGAGGGTGTTTGGGGTGGCAACAGTTTTTCGATGGGGGGGAGAAAGAGTGCTCTCGCACTGTACTGGTCAGTCTTCTGATAGTTTTCTGACACACTCAGCACGACGGACGTTCGCGATGGCTTCATCGACATCGACGGCTACTGATTCGCCACCATCTGACATCGTATCAGACTTCCCGCCAACATTTCGTTGATCTTTACCGTCCGGTTTACATCCGCGACATCGACGACTGTCATTCATCAACGGATTGATGATTCGATATTCGCTTTCAACCGCCCGATCGACATCGGCAGTATCAACGGCTGACATTCCAACTCTGAATTTCGCCTTGGTCAACGCGCTCAGCCACACGTCAGCTTAAAAGTCAACGTACTTCTGCACCGTCAGATCGGCTTCAACCGAAGATCTGCAGTTTTCACGCTACTGCAAGACTCGGTTTCGTATAAGGGCACCTTATTTAGAAGGTGGGAGAGTGTAATGAATTCACAATTCATTACTGTAGAGGCTGCTCCTAGCGAGAACAGCCCGAGCACTTCGCGTCAGTGTGGCTCGGCCTACACTTTCGCACCTAACCAGTTCCGAGTCGCCCATCACCAATCGCGACATTTCCGAACCACGCACGTCACGCGGTTCTCGCTGTCAGAATGCTATAATTGTCTAGTCTGCAGTGGGGTACTCTATAGTGAGTACAGCCCAAATTAGGGTTTGCTATATGTATCCTATCTGCTGCTAGTGCAACCCCTCTTTCTGTTTCTAACTTTCTGCTAGCGTTTCTCGACATGCTATCAGAGCGAGAACGCTCCTGGCCTGTGGGCCCACTTGCTTCCGCTGTTGTCCTGCCTGTCGCGCGCCTGGGGTGCGCGACGTTTTCTGCCTGCCGCGCGCCCGGTGCGCGCGGTGTTTTTTCTTCCCGCCGCGCACTCGGGGCGCGCGGCCGTCGCAGCACCCCAGGGGCCCGCGCGCTGTCCCCTCCCGTCGCCCGTCGCGGCGCCCTGGGGGCCCGCGCGTCCCCCCCCTCCCGTCGCCCGTCGCGGCGCCCTGGGGGCCCGCGCGCCGCCCTGCACGTCGCTCGTTGCGGTGCCCTGGGGGCCCGCGCGTCCCCCCCTCTTCCCGTCGCCCGTCGCGGCGCCCCAGGGGCCCGCGCGCCGCCCTGCCCGTCGCCCGTCGCAGCGCCGGACCCGCGCGCCGCCCCGCTTCCGCTCGCACGCCGCCCCAGCAGCTGCCCGCGTTTCTGCCCCGTACCGCGCATGCGCCGCCTGCGTTGGGGGTATGGGGGTGGCGGGTATGGGGGTGGCGGGTGTGTGAGCCGTCCCCTGCTCCTCCTCCTCCTCCGTCTCCCACTGCTGCAGCTACTGCTGAGGGGGGTGGATGTGTGGGAGCCGAGGGAGTGGCGCTAGGGGGGTGCCGTGGGAGTGGAGCTAGGGGTGCATAGGGGTGTGTGTGAAAGGGGGTTTGCGACAGTGGGGGAGGTTGATAAGGCGGAGGTAGCCGTTGTGGAGCCAGCAGCGCCAGTAGTCCGGATACCCTTGCTTGTGTCCGGTAGCCAGCGAGCCCGTTGCGCCAGTCGCCCGTGGGTCCGTTGCTCCAGCCGCTCGTCGTAGCCGCGGAGCCAGTTACTCCAGTAGTCCGGATACCCTTGTTTGTGTCCGGTAGCCAGTGTGCCAGTTGCTCCAGTAGCCCGTGTGCCAGCAGCTTCAGCCGCCGCCTCCAATCTCCTCTCCTCTCACAGTCCCTCCTCCTCCTCACTTGCCCTCTGTGACTGCCTCTAGCTTTGCTTGTGCTTGTGAACTTCTTATGCGACTGCTTGCTGTGCTGATCATACCCCACTTTGCCTATGGGGGTGTGTCAGAATGCTATAATTGTCTAGTCTGCAGTGGGGTACTCTATAGTGAGTACAACCCAAATTAGGGTTTGCTATATGTATCCTATCTGCTGCTAGTGCAACCCCTCTTTTTGTTTCTAATTTTCTGCTAGCGTTTCTCGACACTCGCCTAGCACGTATTCGCCCTATACCGTAAAGTGCCACCTATAGGACCCGGGGGACTCTCTACAAATGCTTGAAAAAGTGCTAGGGGGACCCTCTGGCGGTTGCAAATTTTTAAGACCCGGGGTACACTTATTTATCAACTATCATTCTGTTCTTTAGGGTGTACGGCTTAATTCGGGGCGGGGGGGTCTTATATTTATAACGAAAAACGGCATTCGTGGGCGGATTTCGCGCGAGCGGCGCGTCAGATCTGTGTCAGAATTCGAGTCTGACACAAACAAAGTGTCAGAATTCGAGTCTGACACAAAAAATCGTGTCAGAATTCAAGTTTCTGTCAATAAAAGCTGACTCACAATAGCAATTACAACTACTGCATACAAGAAAGGGGGGTCTTATGATGATTAGGGGCAGAAAGGGGGTCCTCACAAATCCTGCCCAAATAAGAGTCCCTCTGCTCCTTCAAGAGTCCCGGGGACCCTCTTACCGGCGGGTCCTATAGGTGGCACTTTACGGTATTTGCTCGCATTCCTCATTGTTTCCTCATTATGTAATCACATTCTCTTTATAGAAGTCTTCCGCGCACTCTGTTTAGTACAACTCATAACACAGAGAGTAAACACCGTGTAACCGTAAAACTTGTGACCTACGCAATTCATATAATATAATATTACATCATACGGTAGCATGAAACATGCGTACCACGTTAGCAGCTGGCACATGCGAACGAACTGATCCGGCTTAGCCTGGCACACACAGCTTCGAAAATACGACACCACAGTAGCTTCTGAGAGAGCAGCTTCGGGTCGGGCCGACCGTGAGGAACGCTGTAAAAGCCGCTTGCAAGGCAGTGCTGACTGATTTCATCATCCACGTCTGCTGTCAGCTGTTGGAATTCTTTTCAAGCAGCTGCGCCAGAAGCTTCGGGTCGACAGGCTTCTGCAAAACGCCATCAAAGCCACTCGCAAGGCAGCGGTGAGTGATTTCAGCATCCACATCGGCCGTGAGCGCCACTATGAGTAGCTGAGGGACGTCGGGGGTGAATGATGCTTGTGTGCCTGATTGTGTGGCTTCTGTTGCTGCTCTGGGTGTTGCTTCTGGTGGGGATGTGGGTTGAAGAAGCGGGGCTTGTTCGTGTGCTCGTATGGCCGCTGTGGCTGCGAACCTGAGGGTTTACAGCGAGGAACAGGCAGAAGCATAACAGAAGGTTTGAGATGGAAAGAGAATGGAACAGAAGGTTTGAGATGGAAAGAGAATGGAACAGAAGGTTTGAGATGGAAAGAGAATGGAACAGAAGGTTTGAGATGGAAAGAGAATGGAACAGAAGGTTTGAGATGGAAAGAGAATGAAACAGAAGGTTTGAGATGGAATGAAGCTGTCTGTGTATTCGTATGGCCTCTGTTGCTGCGAGCCTGAGAAGGTTTTCATTGAGGTAGGAACAGGAGCAGCGATGGAGAGCACGGGGGTTGAAGAATATCTTTTTTGAGAATTCTCACCCAACTGGACAGACACGACAGGCAGTCAAAGTGAAAAGTGAGGCATTCACCCATGCATTCACCCATGCATTCACGTGACTCACCCGCCTATGCCTATGACTCACCCGTCCATGAGGGGCATCTGCAGGTCCATGAGCACCACATCCACATGCCCGTCTGCGAGGTGTGCGCTGCCCCCCAGGCCCAGAGCGTGCTGCTTGACGTGTCGCAGCGCCTCCTTCCCGCTGCCTGCGGTGGCGACGGTGGCGCCGCTGCGAGTGAGAGTGCGGCGCGCCACCAGCAGATTCACCGCCGCATCGTCCACCACCTGATGGTGAGGGAACAACAGGAGAGAGAAGGAGAGCGAGACAGACAGGGAGAGGCGGGTTGCTGCAAGATGGGGGGAAAGAGAGTGCGGCGCGCCACCAGCAGATTCACCGCCGCATCATCCACCACGTGGAAAGAGGACAGGTTCAGATCGTGGTGAGAGGGAAAGAGAGTGAGAGCGACAGGGAATCAACAGGGAGGGGTAAGGTTTGGCAGAGATGGCCATAAGAAAAGTGCCACGAACCACAAAGCAACGAAGGTCAGCAATGTACAGCACTCGCATGCAGTAAGCATTGCTGCACAACCAGTCAGAGAGCGAAATAGCAGGAGGACGAAATAGAGGGATCGGAAAAAACAAAGGCGCGGGTTGTAAACCGGACGATAAGAGGGGTGGAGTGCGGGAGGTCAACTGGTTGTACCATGATTCTCAGCCCAGCTAGCAGACTCTTCCCTTCCCCCCCTCCTCCTGCTCCTCCTCCTCCTCCTGCTGCTGCTGCTGCTGCTGCTGCTGCCGCACCCGCTCCTCCTGCTGTGGTTGCTCCTCCTCCTGCTGTGGTTGCTCCTCCTCCTGCTGCCTCCTCAATCTCCTTTGCTCCCACTCCTCCTGCTCTCCTTCTCCCTGCTGGTCCTCCACCTCGTCCCTCCCCATCCACGAATGAAACTTTTTTTCTACATTTGGCATCGGAACTGCTTAGGCCAGCACCACTGGAAGCAATAGCAGGCATAGCAGCAGCCACAGCTGCAGCAGCAGGCACAGATTTAGCAGCAGGAGCAGCTGTAGCGGCACCCGTAGCTGCGGCAGCAGACACAGCTGTAGCAGCAGAAACATGTGTAGCAGCAGGAGCAGATGTCGCAGCTAAGGTTGTAGCCAGAGTGGGTGCGCCAGCTGGTGCCCTAGGTGATGCGGTGGCAGCAGCAGGGGCAATGTTGGCTGCTGGCTGAGATGCAGTTCGGTGGGGAGAATTTGGGTGGTGCAGGCGGTACTGGTGTATGAGTATGGCCTGCCGGAGAGCGGGGTGAGGAGCGAGGGGGGTTGAGAGGGAAAAGAGGGAGGACAAGGTGAAGGGTTATGAGAATGTGGGTGGTACAGGCAGTTCTGGTGGGGGATTGTTTTTTAGGGGAGAGGGGCGAGAGGAGAGAGGAGAGGAATGAGAGGATAGATAGGGTGGACAAGAACGTTCAACAAGGGAAGAGACAGCAAGAGTTGAAGTGCAATGAGTCATGTGACCGTAGCACACAAGAATGGCAGGTGGCAGCGTACCTGAATGGCATGTGGCAGCGTACCTGAATGGCATGTGGCAGCGTACCTGAATGGCATGTGGCAGCGTACCTGAATGGCATGTGGCAGCGTACCTGAATGGCATGTGGCAGCGTACCTGAATGGCATGTGGCAGCGTACCTGAATGGCATGTGGCAGCGTACCTGAATGGCATGTGGCAGCGTACCTGAATGGCATGTGGCAGCGTACCTGAATGGCATGTGGCAGCGTACCTGAATGGCATGTGGCAGCGTACCTGAATGGCATGTGGCAGCGTACCTGAATGGCATGTGGCAGCGTACCTGAATGGCATGTGGCAGCGTACCTGAATGGCATGTGGCAGCGTACCTGAATGGCATGTGGCAGCGTACCTGAATGGCATGTGGCAGCGTACCTGAATGGCATGTGGCAGCGTACCTGAATGGCATGTGGCAGCGTACCTGAATGGCATGTGGCAGCGTACCTGAATGGCATGTGGCAGCGTACCTGAATGGCATGTGGCAGCGTACCTGAATGGCATGTGGCAGCGTACCTGAATGGCATGTGGCAGCGTACCTGAATGGCATGTGGCAGCGTACCTGAATGGCATGTGGCAGCGTACCTGAATGGCATGTGGCAGCGTACCTGAATGGCATGTGGCAGCGTACCTGAATGGCATGTGGCAGCGTACCTGAATGGCATGTGGCAGCGTACCTGAATGGCATGTGGCAGCGTACCTGAATGGCATGTGGCAGCGTACCTGTGTGGCATGTGGCAGCGTACCTGAATGGCATGTGGCAGCGTACCTGAATGGCATGTGGCAGCGTACCTGAATGGCATGTGGCAGCGTACCTGTGTGGCATGTGGCAGCGTACCTGAATGGCATGTGGCAGCGTACCTGAATGGCATGTGGCAGCGTACCTGAATGGCATGTGGCAGCGTACCTGAATGGCATGTGGCAGCGTACCTGAATGGCATGTGGCAGCGTACCTGAATGGCATGTGGCAGCGTACCTGAATGGCATGTGGCAGCGTACCTGTGTGGCATGTGGCAGCGTACCTGAATGGCATGTGGCAGCGTACCTGAATGGCATGTGGCAGCGTACCTGAATGGCATGTGGCAGCGTACCTGTGTGGCATGTGGCAGCGTACCTGAATGGCATGTGGCAGCGTACCTGAATGGCATGTGGCAGCGTACCTGAATGGCATGTGGCAGCGTACCTGAATGGCATGTGGCAGCGTACCTGAATGGCATGTGGCAGCGTACCTGAATGGCATGTGGCAGCGTACCTGAATGGCATGTGGCAGCGTACCTGAATGGCATGTGGCAGCGTACCTGAATGGCATGTGGCAGCGTACCTGAATGGCATGTGGCAGCGTACCTGAATGGCATGTGGCAGCGTACCTGAATGGCATGTGGCAGCGTACCTGAATGGCATGTGGCAGCGTACCTGAATGGCATGTGGCAGCGTACCTGAATGGCATGTGGCAGCGTACCTGAATGGCATGTGGCAGCGTACCTGAATGGCATGTGGCAGCGTACCTGAATGGCATGTGGCAGCGTACCTGAATGGCATGTGGCAGCGTACCTGAATGGCATGTGGCAGCGTACCTGAATGGCATGTGGCAGCGTACCTGAATGGCATGTGGCAGCGTACCTGAATGGCATGTGGCAGCGTACCTGAATGGCATGTGGCAGCGTACCTGAATGGCATGTGGCAGCGTACCTGAATGGCATGTGGCAGCGTACCTGAATGGCATGTGGCAGCGTACCTGAATGGCATGTGGCAGCGTACCTGAATGGCATGTGGCAGCGTACCTGAATGGCATGTGGCAGCGTACCTGAATGGCATGTGGCAGCGTACCTGAATGGCATGTGGCAGCGTACCTGAATGGCATGTGGCAGCGTACCTGAATGGCATGTGGCAGCGTACCTGAATGGCATGTGGCAGCGTACCTGAATGGCATGTGGCAGCGTACCTGAATGGCATGTGGCAGCGTACCTGAATGGCATGTGGCAGCGTAACTGAATGGCATGTGGCAGCGTACCTGAATGGCATGTGGCAGCGTACCTGAATGGCATGTGGCAGCGTACCTGAATGGCATGTGGCAGCGTACCTGAATGGCATGTGGCAGCGTACCTGAATGGCATGTGGCAGCGTACCTGAATGGCATGTGGCAGCGTACCTGAATGGCATGTGGCAGCGTACCTGAATGGCATGTGGCAGCGTACCTGAATGGCATGTGGCAGCGTACCTGAATGGCATGTGGCAGCGTACCTGAATGGCATGTGGCAGCGTACCTGAATGGCATGTGGCAGCGTACCTGAATGGCATGTGGCAGCGTACCTGAATGGCATGTGGCAGCGTACCTGAATGGCATGTGGCAGCGTACCTGAATGGCATGTGGCAGCGTACCTGAATGGCATGTGGCAGCGTACCTGTGTGGCATGTGGCAGCGTACCTGAATGGCATGTGGCAGCGTACCTGAATGGCATGTGGCAGCGTACCTGAATGGCATGTGGCAGCGTACCTGAATGGCATGTGGCAGCGTACCTGAATGGCATGTGGCAGCGTACCTGAATGGCATGTGGCAGCGTACCTGAATGGCATGTGGCAGCGTACCTGAATGGCATGTGGCAGCGTACCTGAATGGCATGTGGCAGCGTACCTGAATGGCATGTGGCAGCGTACCTGAATGGCATGTGGCAGCGTACCTGAATGGCATGTGGCAGCGTACCTGAATGGCATGTGGCAGCGTACCTGAATGGCATGTGGCAGCGTACCTGAATGGCATGTGGCAGCGTACCTGAATGGCATGTGGCAGCGTACCTGAATGGCATGTGGCAGCGTACCTGAATGGCATGTGGCAGCGTACCTGAATGGCATGTGGCAGCGTACCTGAATGGCATGTGGCAGCGTACCTGAATGGCATGTGGCAGCGTACCTGAATGGCATGTCGCAGCGTACCTGAATGGCATGTGGCAGCGTACCTGAATGGCATGTGGCAGCGTACCTGAATGGCATGTGGCAGCGTACCTGAATGGCATGTGGCAGCGTACCTGAATGGCATGTGGCAGCGTACCTGAATGGCATGTGGCAGCGTACCTGAATGGCATGTGGCAGCGTACCTGAATGGCATGTGGCAGCGTACCTGAATGGCAGAGAGCAGATGGTGGGAGAAGAGAGGCCGTTCACACAGCACCACTGGGACCATGCCAACGCCACCCACATTGCCTTCCTCTTCAGAATTGCTTCGCCTTTTGGCATCGGCATGAACGTCAGCGTTGGCAGCATCATCGTCATCAACATTAGCATCAGCACCATCAGCATCAGCACTATCCACATCAGCACCATCCACATCAGCACCATCCACATCAGCACCATCCACATCAGCACCATCCACATGAGCACCATCCACATCAGCACCATCCACATCAGCACCATCCACATGAGCACGATCCCTGCTGAGGTGAAAAGAAACCGAACCAGCATCAGAACAGTCATCAGTCTCAGTCTCAGCATCAGCACTACTGCCATCGCTGAGACCCTCACGTTTGTGTCCACCGGCCATGCCTCCCCACTGCTGATCCCCTTTGTCTCCCCCACCCACAGCTCCCCTTGTATTTTCCGTGCCCTCATCATCCCCCTCAAAACACCCCCCTTTCTCTACAAGCACCACTATGCCAGACAGGGTCAGGCTGCGCACTTGTGTGCAGCTCAAGGGATTGCAGTTGTGCAATCCGCTTCTCCTGCACACAACTGCGCTATTCTGCTCTTGCCGCTTTGTCTCCTCAATCTGCTGCGCTGGCGAATGCTGCTGCCACTGTTGCTGCTCTTGCGGCTGCTGTTGCATCAGTTGAGAAAACGCTTCTTTGTACCTCTTCAGGCCAGCCCCCCCACTCACTACCACCACCAGCTGCTTCCCACACAACTTAGCTAAGTGCTGGTGTGAGTGGGAACGGGAAGACTGCTGGTGATAGGCCTGAAAGCCGGCTATAAAGGAAGCTGCTGCCTGTTCATCGTTTGCCAGCAGCACAGATGCTCCTAGATGTGTCAAGACACGGGAAGTTAGCTGGTGGGGAGGGAGGGAGGGGGAGAGGTAGTAGGCACAAAGGGGGAGAGGAGAGGGTGGGGGAGGGCTGGTTGGTGGAACAGAGGCAGCTAAGAAAGCGAGCTGCTGCCTGTTCATCATTTGCCAGCATCACGGATGCTCCTAGGTGCATCAACACACAGGCGGTCTGCTGGTGGGAGGAGAGAGGGAGATGGTAGAGACACAGGGGTGAGTGGGGGATATTAGCTGGTGGGAAAAAGGAACCAGAAACCGAGCTGGTATCTGCTCATAGTTCGACAGCAGCATGGATGCTCTTAGGTGCGCCAGCACAGGCGGTCAGCTGGTGGGGGCGAGGAGGATGTTGCACCTGAGAGCAAGGGGAGTGGCACAACTGCAGGTGGAAAGGCAGAGGAGGAAGCAGCAGCCGTTCACAGTGGCCGAGGTGGAATTGCTGGTGGCTGCCGTGGAGGAGAGGAGATGGACATTGGCAGGTGAAGGCCTCTGCCTCACCTCAGCACCTTCACTCGCCCGCACACCCACAGCAGGTGGGTGCCAATGTCCATCTTCTCTTCTCCACGGCAGCCACCAGCGATTCCACCTCGCCCACTGTGAACGGCTGTTGCTTCCTCCTGTGCTTTTCCACCTGTAGACGCACCACTCCCCTTGCTATCAGGCACAACATCCTCGTCCTTGCAGTTCCTGACTGACCTGCGGCTTATATGCACCCATTACCAGACGCACGGAAGCATCATCACACCGGACAAGACTCTTGCCTGGAAGCAGGCAACTCTCATCACGGTATACTGAAGGGTGAATTGGCGCATCAAGAGCCACCACGGCACAACAACCAGACACACCAAGCCAGACACAACAGACACACCGAGCCAGACACACCGAGCCAGACACGCCGAGCTTACACGCTAGAGCCTGCAAGTTACCTTTGTTCTCTCTGGCTGCCCATCCGCCACCACCACCAGCACTCCCGAAAGGTCCGAGCGGTCCCGCCCCATGCGGCTGTACATCATTTGAGAATTCTCAGAAGTGGTCCCATGGCCTTCCCCACCATCCACCCGCGCTGCATCGCTACCCTCCACATGACCATGCATGTTCACAGCCACCAACCCAGCTTCAGCCGCAGCAGAAGAAGGAGCGGCAGCGGGAAAAGCAGCTTTTGATAAAGGCGGGTTCGTATGGGACAGGTTGATTTGGTGGAGGGCTGCTGAAGGAAGGCTTGTCTGGGGCAGTTGTGGCGGGGCAGAGAGAATTGGTATGGCGAGGGTGAAAGTTGTTCCTGTAACAGGGTCAACCTTGCAGATCATGTCACCCTTCATTAGAGTCACCTGCAGTCATACAAACACAGCAATGGAAGGCCAAAGATCAATTACACTTGACTTGAGATAAGAATTTGGCCCCTAAAGGAGGAACAAGAGAGGCTGTTTCACCAGTTAACTTCTGAAGAGAGAAAGGAAGGAAGGAAGAAAGAAAGAAAGAAAGAAAGAAAGAAAGAAAGAAAGAAAGAAAGAAAGAAAGAAAGAAAGAAAGAAAGAAAGAAAGAAAGAAAGAAAGAAAGAAAGAAAGAAAGAAAGAAAACGACATAAGAATTTTCATTTTGATTTCATCTAAGCATTTTAATGAGAGGATCCTTCCCTCACCAGTTGCTTAGCCAACACGAGGCTGAGCTTTGCAGCAGCTTCCTTAGCTCCCTCCTGCAGGCTACGCATCTCCTGCACGCATCAACGCACACATACACGCACACACGCACACGCACGCACGCACGCACGCACGCACGCACGCACGCACGCACGCACGCACGCACGCACGCACGCACGCACGCACGCACACACACACACACGCACACACACACACACACACACACACACACACATCAAGACAAGAACGGCTTGGAGCACCGAAGCACACACAATGGACTCTCACGACATGTGTTGACAACAGGGCTTCAAAATCACGAGAAAAAACAATGTGCTCACCTCAAATCGGAACATGAATCCATTCATGGTCTCGCTGTTGTCACACCCGCTATGCTCACACGTGACCACCAGCTGCATCATCCCCCCTGCTGCTGCTGCTCTCCTCCCCCCTGTGTAGTCACAGTCACCATTCACATTGACTGTATGGCTATTACGACCTCTCATAGTACGGTTACCAGTACAGTTATTACCTATGCAGGGACCACGGAGGTTGCGCTGTCCTACCCCTCTACAGTCACATACACTAACGCTGCCATATCCTAGCCGTTTGCGCATATTGAGCCTATTGCGTGCACGCATAGGTGGACAAAGGTTCTGCTCTTCACTGGACAGCCCAGCACTACCAGCAACACAAGCCGCCGCTGCTGCTGAGTCAGCAAGCCCTTTTATAGTCACACCGTCTGAGCCTATCAGTGTAGTCACCCGCGCGCTGCTGACTGCTGCATAGGACGCTATAGAGAAAGGGCAAAAAGGACGGGCATAGAGCAGAGAGAGAGACTCAGGTCTTCAATAAAAGCACAGCTCCATTCGTGAGTGCATCAAGAGTCCACTTTTGCATTGACTCAACACAAACATGGGTTCTGAATTTTCTGAAGAAGAAAATGAAGAAAAAAACAGCTGAAGGCAGGTGAGGAGGATGATAGAACCTTCTCACTCACCATTCCGCTGAGCCAGCTGAGTCAAGGGCACGTCAACATCCGCCACAGCCACCCGGACCAGCACGCAGCCCCCGTGCGGCGTGAATGACAAGGCATAGTCTGCAGTGGGAGAGGGAGTGGGAGGAGAAGGGAGGGAGGATGGGACGGGAGAGAACTGCTGTGGTGAGACGACTCTGTAATAGGCAGAGCTACTCCTGTGACAAGGGCCGGTCAACTGATGCAACATCCCTCACAAGCTGCACATTCCCATGCTCCCATGAACAGGAGCGTTGACATGAACAGGAGCGTGCTGACATGAAAGTTAGCCGGCCGGCAAACTAGGCCAAGTGATTGAACAGAGGTGACAACATGAATCTGAGCCGACCAGACACCCATCCTTGACTTCACTTGAGAGCGACTGAACAGAGGCGTCGACAAGTCGAAAACTGAAAACTGAACAGAGGCGTCGACAAGTCGAAAACTGGAAACTGAACAGAGGTGTCGACAAGTCGAAAACTGAAAACTGAACAGAGGCGTCGACAAGTCGAAAACTGAAAACTGAACAGAGGCGTCGACAAGTCGAAAACTGAAAACTGAACAGAGGCGTCGACAAGTCGAAAACTGAAAACTGAACAGAGGCGTCGACAAGTCGAAAACTGAAAACTGAACAGAGGCGTCGACAAGTCGAAAACTGAAAACTGAACAGAGGCGTCGACAAGTAAAAAACTGAAAACTGAACAGAGGCGTCGACAAGTCAAAAACTGGAAACTGAACAAAGGCGTCGACAAGCAAGTGAGCTGAGGAGACACCCACCCATGACTTGAGAGAGTGCTTGGGCGAGGCGCAGCTGATCCCCCACCAGCTGCTGCGGCACACCGGCAGCCACTACTGCTGCCACTGCTCACATGCATGCATGCAAGGACACATAAATAGAACCAAACAAATATGCACACATGCATGCATGCAAGCACAGAGATTCATACATGCAAGCACAAGGTTTTACACATGCAAGCACACGGTTTCATACATGAAAGCACACATGGAATCAAACACATGTTCATGGATGCGCACATGGAATCAAACACATGTTCATGGATGCGCACATGGAATCAAACACATGTTCATGGATGTGCACATGGAATCAAACACATGTTCATGGATGCGCACATGGAATCAAGCACATGTTCATGGATGCGCACATGGAATCAAACACATGTTCATGGATGCGCACATGGAATCAAACACATGTTCATGGATGCGCACATGGAATCAAACACATGTTCATGGATGCGCACATGGAATCAAACACATGTTCATGGATGCGCACATGGAATCAAACACATGTTCATGGATGCGCACATGGAATCAAACACATGTTCATGGATGCGCACATGGAATCAAACACATGTTCATGGATGCGCACATGGAATCAAACACATGTTCATGGATGCGCACATGGAATCAAACACATGTTCATGGATGCGCACATGCATGCATACAAGCAAGCACATATCCATAGGTGTTAGATGCAAGTAGCTCATAATGCACGTTCCCCAACATATTTACAGATAGACATTCTCCTCTCCCTCTTTCAAACGACTTTTCTTCAAACGAACAGCTTCCCTCTCAAGCACACCCATACTCACAGGTTGAAACTGTTTTCTTAAAATTCTAAAAACAGCTTCCCTCTCAAATAGACCCATACTCACCGTGCACGTTCCTTTTGAGACGTCTCAAAAGTACTCACAGTGCACATTCCTCTTGTGTGTCTCAGCCCATCGCCGGCCCACCTATCGCCGGCCCACCTCCCCCTCCACCCACGCGTGCACGTCAAACGCGCCCGTCTCCAGCTGCAGCCGCCGTGCCTCCAGCTTGGAAAGGTACAAAACCTCGCTTTTTGAGACGTCTCAAAAGAAGGTTCAAAACCTCGCTTTTTGAGACGTCTCAAAGAAGGTCCAAAACCTCGCTCACTAATCATACCAAATCTCATCAAAACCAAGTCTCTTCCTCCACCAACCCACTCTCATTTCTCCCCCTCCTTCCAGAAAAAACCTCTAAGAGGGAGGCCGCATACTCACAGTGCACGTTCCTCTCTTCAGCCTCCACCCACCGCCGAGTCACCTCCCCCTCCACCCACGAGCGCACGTCAAACCCGCCCATCTCCAGCAGCAGCCGCCCCGCCTCCAGCTTGGAGAGGTCAAGAACCTGATTCACCAGCTTCAGCACCTTCAGAGCGGACGAGCGGGCTGTGCTTAAATCTGAGAGCTGATTTCGGGAGAGATGCGAGTCCGAGAGCACGTCTAGCATGCCTGGTAGTGCAGGGAAGAGACGAGGGGAATGGGGGGAAGGAGTGAGCTGGATGCGCTTGGAGAGGTCCACTCGTGTCCAGCTGCAGCCACCCTGCCACGAGCTTGAAGAAGTCCTGCATTTTTTAGGCGCCTCAAAAGACGACTTTAAAGGCGCCTCAAAAGAAGTCACGCACCTGCCTGGTTCACCAGGTGCAGCACCTTGAGGGCAGAGGTGCGCGCTGTGCTCAGGTCAGAGAGCTGGTTCTCAGTCAGGCACGAACCTGAGAGCACATCTAGCGTGCCTGGGAAGGGTGGGGGACAGGAGAGGGCCAAGGGATGAGCAGATGCAGCTTGGAGAGGTCGAGCATTTGGTTCACCAGCTTCAGCACCTTCAAGGCGGACGAACAGACTGTGTTTCAATCTGAGAGCTGCTTTTGGGAAAGATGTTGAGTCTGAGAACACGTCTAGCATGGTGCTCGATTGGGCAAAGAGAGTGGAGTGATGGGAAGGAAAGGATGATTTTGGAAAGGTCCTGCACTGCACTGTACTGCACTGCACCTGGTTCACCAGCTTCTAGCATTTGACTCTGAAAGTGCGACCAGCATGCCTGGTGATGGGGAGAACGACGAGAAAAGTATCAATGGTACCCAAACCCAGCACCCCATGAAACTTCAACAGCAGCCCATACCAATGATGCCAAGCATGGGGGTGCGCAGCTCGTGGGTCATGCTGGCGACAAAGCAGCTCTTGCTCCTCTCCGCCCCCTCCGCCTCCCTCCTCATCGCATCCGCCTCTACCGCTGCCCGCCTGCTCTGCTCATACTGCCGCCGCTGCAGCCATGCGACCACCACCACCAGCGCTGTCATGGCGAGCACCAGCAGGCTGAAGAGGATGGGCATTCCGTACTCAACAAACCGAGACGGGGGCTCCGTGAACCTGGTGGGCCGAAATGAGAGGGAGCGAACAGGGGTAGCGTGGGAGAGAGAGGGGAGATCGGGTTACCACCAGTGAACAGGGGTATCGTGGGAGAGAGAGTGGGGGGCTAAGTTGGAATATACGCGTTTCGCGTTTTGTACGCATGCGTGTATACGCTAGAGTATAATACGCGATACGTCCAGAGAGGATGTTCAAATACGCTTGAAATACGGAGCTGCGGGCAGGGTAAAAACTTTTTCGGGCAGGGTAATATACTTTTTTCTAGAGAGGGGAGGAGGGGAGGGTGTTATACACCCATAGTACCTATCCCGCCGGATTTTCCGCGGGGGGTTTCGCGGATATTAATGGGTCCTTCCGCGGACGCAATCTGAACATACTTGCACTTGCAGGAGTGCTTGATATGGTAGACATGGCTGCAGCGGGTTAAGAAGCTTCGCGCGTGTTACAGAAAGCGATGCGTGAAAGTCAATTATGAAGACTGCGTGGGTTGGGTCGACGAGCTCACCTTGCGTACGTGCCTGCATGGTGCGCGTGGCTTTCTTGGTGGGGATGGATGGGTTGGATCTGAGAGGTATGCTGAGATTCAATGCGGTGGAACCTATACAACTTTCCAGACCCAAATTGAGTTCGCGAGGTGCGAACAAATTGCTCCGTAACGCAACTCGCGATTCCCGATTTTTAGGGTTTTTTTTTTTTTCGACAGGCTGCCCGCCCGAAGTTCAAGCCTTTCCGAAGCGTATCGCGTTTTTGCGCATATACGCCAGCGCACAAACGCAATACGCCTGGCAAGCCAAGCGTATATTCCAACTTGAGTGGGGGGTTGGGTTACCACCAGTGAACAGAGGTATCGTGGGAGAGAGAGTGGGCTGGGCACTGCCGCACTGGTGTCATGTCAACACAATCGAGTGCGAGGATGACAACAGGTAAAAACGACGAGTTCATTCCAGCGGACTCACCCACCAATCTGAACCGCATTCTAAGGAGACAAAGCCTACAAGCCAGACCAGCATTCGTGTTGATTCCAGCCCAGCCCACCCACGTGCATCAAACTTGCTTCCAGCCCAGCCAGACCTGTTTTCTTATTGCGCCTTGGAAATAGACTCCAGCTCACCCACTCACCTGCACCACACTTGGTAGCGCCTGGGCCCAGCAGCAGGGAGGGTGAGGTTGACCACGGCCCGCTTCTCCCACACACGCAGCACCGAGGGGGGGGCTGGCAGCAGCGGGGCGACAGGCTGGCAGGGCTGCGGCTGGAAGGACAGCGGCGTGGGGCCGGCAAGCACGAGTGGAGAGGCGGGGTCTGTTGTGTCGTAGAGCTCAAATGATCTGCCAGTGGCTGGATAGGAGCAGGGCGAGGAGCGGGATTGAGAGGAGGAGTGCTTTGAGTCGACTCAATACAAGGAGGAGTGCTTTGAGTCGAGTCAAAAAAAGGAGGAGTAGAAGATGTCTGAAAACAGACCCCACATGAATCTCGATCCTGGAAACACGCTCTGCATGATGGCAGTGATGATGGCAGTGGTGATGGCAGTGGTGATGGCAGTGGTGATGGCAGTGGTGATGGCAGTGGTGATGTTACTTTTCAGAATTCTTCTCAAGAGTAGCATCAACATAGAGGGTGCCACACCCTGACTCATGCGGCTGCTGTTCCTGCTGGCAGAAAGAGCTACTCACGTGCGGATGGAGTGGAGGAGGAGAAGATCTCTGAGAGTACGCTCTGCACGATGGCAGTGAGGTTGATGGTGGCGGTCACTGCTCCCACCACTGCTGCCTGTTGCTGCTGCGAGGAGGACGCGGGGAGTGGTTGCTGCAGCACTGGAAACACCATCCCTGGAGCGGCGATAGGGAGGAGCGAGGCGGGGGAGTAAAAGGGAAGGAAGGAGGTTTGGTGATAGGGAGGAGGGAGGGATGGGAGGAAGGAATGAAAAGAGGAACCAGAGACGCTCATGCAGCTAATTCAAGTTAGGAGAAGCTCCAAGGTGCTTATACCAGGGATGAAGGTTGTCAAAGCTCAGGTTTCGAGTCGACTCAGAAGCAGACCCAGTCAGCTTACTGAGACCCTGATGCTCACCCAGTCCAGCAGTTCCAGTGGCAGTGGTGGCGTAGGGCAGCGTGAACGTCTCCTTGGCAGAGGCGCGCACGAGAGCGAGCTCCGAGGGAAAGGCCTGGAGTGCGTCTGAGAGGAGACCTTGACTCGCTGGGGTCCCTGACTCGCTGTCCAGCACCTGGCAGGGGGTGCAGTGCAGTGAGGGGGGAAGCAGTGAGTGGTCGGGGCGGAGGTGGGGCGGGACACAGCGAGCAACTTTCTTTGCAGAGGCATGCACTACACAAGGGTGAGCTGCGAAGAGAAGCCCTGGAGTGCGTCTGAGAGGAGAGCAGCCCCTGTCTCGCTGGCCGCGTGCAGCACCTGGGGCAGGGGGGGCACTGAGGGAGGGGCGAGCGGACATGGGAGGGGCGGACATGGGGAGGGGCGGACATGGGGAGGGGCGGAGTTGGGGGGCGGAGACGGCGGGTCGAATTGAGAGGCTAACAGAAGCAAACGACTTTTAAAAGGGTGGCTTTTTGTCAACCCAAAGTTGACCCAAAGAAACTCTAACATTGACTCATATCAAATAAACAATCTCAGGCATGAACCTTGGGGCAGTAGAGTGAAGCAGGTGCGCGTGGCCGGCTGGTGAACGCATCTATGATGGAGGCATTGAGCCGCTGCTCAAAGGCAAGCCTGTGGGGTGAGAGAGAGGCATGGGCGGAAGAAGAGGCACAGGTGGGAGCAAGGCACGGATGGATGGAAGGGTGGGAAGTAGGAGGTCGCATAGGTGATGACGTGAATGCATCGTTCCATGCAAAGACTCGCAAACCATTTCTGAGAGCTCTCAAAATTCACCCACGAGCATCAGCGATGGAGACAGATGCACTGACTGACCTTTGAGTGTCTGTGACATAAAGACACGCAGACGCCCCAACGCCTCCAGGCCTGGTGGACGTGGTTTGGCTGAGATACGCCAGCCAGCGCCTCTCAGAGAGACACGTGTCCAGTGCCCGTTGGCCGCCCTCGGCCACGCGACCCAGGGATGACACCAGGCCTGCCAGCGTCTGCACACCGGGGCGGGGCAGGGGGTGCATGCGTGGGAAACATCACGAGGGAGCGGTGTGAGAGGGAGCAGCACCAACCGGCGTGCGATTGTAACAAACCATTACCAAACGAGAGGGAGCATATGATGATTCCTCTCGTTTCCCTCATCTGCGTTTGGCTGGTGTGCGTCGCTAACAGCTGCAGCTCCAGCTTCCATCCCTCCCCATCGTTTGCTGCCTTGTCTCCTGCCAGCCGCACCCCCTGCAAGCCACTGGTACTGCTGGCTCCTCCAACCAACCCAAGGCATCTCATCTCGTCGCATGCAACTCATTTCGTTTCACCCACTTCACCTGCGTCTGTCCTGCGTGCGCTAGCAGCTGCTGGTGCAACACCAAGGCTCGCTGCGAGCACCATTGCGTCAGCTCTCCCCCCCCCGCTCCGCTGCCTGTGTGGCGTGCCACTGGTACTGCCTGATGCTCACCCACCCCAAGGCATGAAATTCCGTCTTATTCACTCACCTGCGTCTGGCCTGTGTGCACCAGCAGCTGCTGCTCCAGCATTATGGCTCGCTGCGAGCACCATTGCCGCAGCTCCCCCTGCCGCTCCCCCTGCCACTGGTACTGCCTCGCTACGAACCGCCACACGCACACGCCCACTCCGATCATAATCCAGATAGCTATCAACACGTGGAAGATTGTGACTGGGGCGGAGGAGAGGAGGGTGGGACAGGAGAGACGGAGTGGAGGGAGCATATGAACGAACACGGCTGAGAAAAGCATGCCGGAGGGAAGGTAGAGCTTTGGAAATCAGGGACTAACGGCGTGAAGCAAACATGGGAGGCGGGAATCACAATGGCAAGAGAACGACTGAGAGCGAGAGGAGCGAGCGCATCACATCCACACGGCCAAGGCAAAGAAGGTCATCCTGAGCAACGGGACGGCATGTGAGCTGAATCAGAGGTCACGAGGTGACTTTGTGTGAAAAGTCAATTGTTGAGTCGACTCAAAAATCGAACTTCTCACACAGGCCAAGGCAAGAAGGTCATCTGAGCAACTGGAAAACATGTGAGCTGAATCAGAGGTCACGAGGTGACTTTGAGTCGCCCCAGAAGCGAACGCATCACATGCCGCCCGCACAATGCACACGGCCGCCAAGGCATCATGAGCAACTGGACAACAGCTGAATTGGATCAAAGGTCTCGGCCACGCCGAGAACTGCGGGTGAAGAGACGACTTTTGAGGCGCCTCAAAAGTCGGGCAAAACAAGAAGATCATCGAGAGCAGCTGGAGGACATCTGAGTCGGATGACCACGAGGTGACATTTGAGTCGAACTCAGAAGCAACTCTTTTCATTGGCTTTCTCGACGTTTATAAATCATTCGAAACCCGACGTTTATAAATCATTTGAAAAAACTCCAAAGCAACTCTTTTCATTGGCTTTCTCGACGCAGGATTTTTGTGATGAGCGCGCGCGTCATATGCACATGACCAAGGCAGGGAAGATCATCGTGAGCAGCTGAGCGACACGTGAGTCGGATCCAAGGTCACGGCCACGCCGAAAATGATATTGATGACTCGGACACCGGAAAAGGGAAATCGGAATGCAACGCGCGCCAGCGGAACAAGTGGAGCACGGCGAGCGGGAATCTGGGGAAAGCGGGACCCATTATACGATGTGGACGCTGAGAGGGTGTTTGGGATGACCCAGGCGACAAGAGAGATGCGAGAAGGCTCGCCGTTCGCCGTCAAAGAGAGTCCCTCACGCAGAGAAACGCAAGGCCCGTGGCTCAGGACAGGAGGGACGAGGACGATCCAGCCTTCCAGGTGTTTGAAGAAGTGTTTTGAGATGTGAGAAGGCCCGCCGTTCGCCGTCAAGAGAGTCCCTCACGCAGAGAATGCAAGGCCCGTCAGGACAGGAGGGACGAGGACGATCCAGCCTTCCAGGTGTTTGAATAAGTGTTTTGAGATGTGAGAAGGCCCGCCGTTCGCCGTCAAAGAGAGTCCCTCACGCAGAGAAGGCAAGGCCCGTGGCTCAGGACAGGAGGGACGAGGACGATCCAGCCTTCCAGGTGTTTGAAGAAGTGTTTTGAGATGTGAGAAGGCCCGCCGTTCGCCGTCAAGAGAGTCCCTCACGCAGAGAAGGCAAGACCCGTGGCTCAGGACAGGGGGGGACGATAGCCAGCCTTCCAGCCAGTGGCTCACGAGGGGACGGGCTGAGAGCGAACAATAGCCTGCCGTCCACAATCATCATGATTGTGCCAGTATAGATGTTGGATCATTTAGGGCACGTGCCAATCCTGCGGTGAACATCGCTACCTTGTTGTGACTTCGTGTCTTCTTTGGGACCAGTTCGAGAGAACTTCTCTGCGTTGGGGGTGAGTTTGCCCCCCGCACAAATTTTGAGACGTAGCGCGAATAATAATCCGTCTCCGAACGTGCTCTTTTAACAAGCTTAATTCCGGGTGTATTACGTGCGGCATACCTCGTCCATGTCGCCGTTTTCCTGCTCTTTCAAGAGTCTTCCCGCCGTCACCTGAATCCCCGTCGCCGTCATGACTCAGCGGAACATGGTCACGGTGGCGTCGTCATCGGCGCGCAGCAGGAGCCGCTGCGCGCCGCGTAACTATGGCTGCTCGTGCTACCGCCATTACAAGCACTGCTACCATCGCGAATTCCAAGCCCGTTCAAACGACAACCATCAGCCGTCGCGGAAGATTCGCGCTGATCGACGGAACTTCCGTGTACTACTGCCTCTCGCACAACGTCATGGACGCGGCCTACTAGTCGCGCTGATTGCCTGGATACTCCTCCTCCTGCTGCTTCCGATCCGTCCGGCGGATTTGGGAGACAATCTGCGTTACTCTCCGCATCATCAGCCACTGCTCGTGCAGCAGAAGCGCCATTTTCTTCTAGGGAAACTCCCGCCGCCGTGTCTGCTCGACGCACGGAAGCGACGGCTCGCCATAGTAGCGAGCCGGCGAGTGTCGATTCTGTCACGCGATCGTCACGGACACTTCCGCTACTGTGAGGCATTGCGACTACGTGGTAAACGTAAAAAGTAAAAATTCTGGCTGCGAGGTACTGCTATACTCTTACAAACTAAGCTCGGACGGATAAGTGCAACTACATAGGCGCAGCGGTGTTGATATCTTCTTGAAGTGCTCCCCTCACCTTACCTTCCAAGGTGCTGCATCTGCCTGAGGCCATGAAAGGCCAACCGAAGATGCAATGGAAGATGAGTGGTAGGCCTCAGAATTACAGGGCGTTTTATCCTGATTAGCCTGTTCTTCAGGGTGATTTTGAGTGACCAAGCTTTAAATACCGGATTCGATTGCTGCACCACGGCCACCTCCGGCCACGAAAAAAAATCACCCTTTTATTTCAGTAACACACGGCTTTGACCGAGGCGATAGTGGCGGAACATTGTTTGGGATTTCTTTGTCCCGTCATTTTCACAAGAAAACTCGAAAATCGGTAAGTACTGACGGGTGACTCAGTTACACCACTACAAGGATAGGACGGTCGACAAATCTCGCTGTGATTTCTTGTTCATGTGGGTGACTCAGTTACACCACTACAAGGATTGGACGGTCGTCAATCTCGCTGTGATTTCTTGTTCATGTGTTGAGTGAAGATTCCTTCCTCCCTTGACCATAAACAGCAGCAGTGTAGACTTTTTTTCCACCCTGTCAGTTCAGACGAGAAATGTTTGAACCCCCTGCCATTTCAAGGGTACGCCGCGGCAGGCACACCACAGCGGCAGCGCGATTTCGAAATCGAGACCCCTAGTGGTGGTGGGTGTCATGGCTAGGCATACAATGTCAGTGCGGGCGGGATCTGGTGGTGCTGGCGATGCGGGTGACGTGTCGATCCGAGTGCTCAGGACAAGGTGCAATTCCAAGATCAGATTCCATCGCTTTCTGCTGAGCTGTAGCTTTAAAATGGTTCTTCTAGTTGAAGAAGGTGTATTCGCATGTTTTGATACGGTTACGGACGGTTTCTTTGACCTTGGAGGCCGGTGTAATCTCCCCTGGTGGCACCGCAGCTGTGCCACTTGCCGCCGAACCTGTCAAACCCTGAGCCGCTTATGTCATCTACGTAGTAGTCAACTCCTCCACGTGTGTATATACACCCGAATTCTCGTTAGACTGGCATCTGTAATCCTAACCAAACCGCTTTGTGTAACCGCCGCAGACAAAAGAAGGTCCTATCACATGCGTTATAGTGACAATTTGACCCAAGGCGTTTAGTCAAGTTTTTATACGTTCTAAAATGTTACTGTTGTTTTCAAAGCGGTTGGGACAGTTAATCAGCGTTAACGGCTTTTTACGGCCCAAAGCTTGTTTCGCCGCCTCGTGCGACTTTGCCCGCAACCGAGTTATCGCACCAGCCCGCTACGTCTAAATACTGTAGCCAGTGCTTCCGCCAGTGAGAAGAGTTAGAACACGGGTATATACACTAACGGGGGGGGGGGGGGGGGGGGGGGGGGGGGGGTACACTTGTTGCTTAGAAGAGTCAACCAAATGTGCAGGTTTTCGGCGCTTCAATAGTGAACGTTCGCCGCCTGTCTTCGCCACAGGCAGCAATGTAACTCTAATGTGTATGCATAACCTTGGTACCCCAAGTGTGCTGGGCGGCGCTTGTTCTGCCTTTGCCAAATTGCAGCTGGGGCTGTTCTGTCCCTAGTGATTTCTGTTCTTTCAGGTTCGGCTGTACAGTTTACTCACCACCTCAGGTTTACTGCGAATCCGAAGATATGATGTCCGGTCGACAGCAGAAAACACGCTTGAACTTGGCAGCAGGTGTAGGGGGGAGTTTTTGGGCGGGGATCTGCGGCGGTGGCGGCGGTGTGGTAATCTACAGTTCCTTGGAAATGGCAGCTTGCGGAGAGTTTTTGTCATCACTCTGCAAACATATTGTTTCCAGAATATACCACCCTGCCCTCCTAAAGAAAAATATTTTTGAGTTTAGTCACCATGCAAATCAATACACTATCTGAGCTCCAAGTTGCAAGCAATCTGTTGGGGGAAAAAACTTTCAAGTTTTGATGTAAACTTAATTGAAGCTGTAAACAAGTCACTTTGTTACTAGATTCATTAGTATGGCAACGTACCATTACAAATAGCAACATTGAATGAGCCAACAAACAAGTGCAAAATCGAATAGGATGAGTAAAATTTAAAAAAAAAAAAGATATTCGCAGCCCAACATGTAAAACTTAGCCATTGAAATTCTATTTGTCATATTTTGTTTAATGCAATTTTCCTTCTTTTGGCAATGTTGTAGCCAGTCAAACATGGTTGATCCTCACCGAATAATGACACTTATGATGCATTCTGCTGTAGGCATCTCCGAAGAGAGTGTCACAAACACTCAAAAATTGTGGTACTCCAAAAACAATGTTTCTGACTAATTGTAATCGACTCATAGTATTTTTGTGACTAATTGTGATACTCCGAACCATGAATAGTCACAATTTAGCCAAATGTCTTACTAAGAGTGGTTGAATATTTGCTGTTCATGATTTTCAGCGACACACAATCAGTCACGATTATAAATTTGGGGTACCATAATGAGTCATAAACACGTTTGTAACATTTTCTTTCTGAACATGTCTATAACGAGCTGTCTGCATACGTTTGGCAGCGTTATTATTACTGGTTAGA